GCACGTCGAACACCCTGGCGTGCGTGGGCAGCGCGCTGAGGGCGCACAGCGCGCACAGCACGGCTGCACGAAAAAAAAGAGGAAGAGGCCGTCAGTTAGCTTCAATCAATTACCATAGCATAAAGCGCACCATCTGACATGAGCCGCAGCAGAGCACTCAGGAAGCCGTTGTCTTGGTTCAAGAGCGAAATTCTCTTAAAAGACTGCGAAGAGCAGCATTTTGAACTTGATTTGAGAGCAATTTCTCTTGTTCTGAGACAACGCTTGATTCAAGTACCAGTTAAACTTGGACCCAAGTGAATTTGGTTCTTGAATTAAGCGTCTGTTGCACTTGGGTCCAAGTTTACTTGGTGTACTCGAACCCAGCGTTTTTGTCTTAGTACAAGAGAAAATGCTCTCTCTCAAATCAAGTGCAAAATGCCCTTCATTCATTTAAGAGAATTCCGCTCTTGAACCAAGACTTTACAAGGCTTTCTGAGTGGGGAGTGAGGCCGGTTGGACGCGGCCGTACCGATGGTCCTGTTGGCGTTCATGGCCGCTGGAGGTGCGTCGGGACGAGGTGCGAGTCGGCCGCGAGTGGGGCGGGCACTGATTGCAGGCCGTGCGCTCCGTGAGGCGCCTTGACGACTGATAAACTATCCGTGCGGGTCGACGGGGCAATTTATTCGCTGCCGGAGACAGGGACTGATAAAGACGTTATTTTTAATCTGATTTTGCGGATGGAAGGACTGATTGCCCTTACCTGTGTGGTGTGGGTGTGGCTAGTGAGGCGTCTTGCCGCTCTGGTCTCGCCCATCGGCAGCAATTAGGCAGGGTACTCCCCACTAATGTTTTAGAGAAACTCGCAGAAAACGTTCTTTCCGCCACCCGAACTCTTGCGAATGGTTCAGACGTCGCTTATTCTCTAAACACCCCTCCTTGTCCTGTTTACGGCGCGGCCACGCGTGTTTTTTGAGGTGCTATTCGCTCTGTTAAGGTCCCCCACAATAACGTCCCTCGGGGTGATGCGAGGCCACGTTGATCTCCGAAACGTTCTCTCGCCCGGTCACTGGGGCGCTGCGGGCGGGCCGCCGTCTCCACACAGCGGCGTGGCGGGTTGGCCTACCCAGCAAGCAGCAGGCGCCATCAGCGTCTCCTCGTGAAACGCTCATTGTGGGGTGGGGACAGCTTTTCACAGCAGATCGTCTTAGACGTGGTTTTTACATTTATCGTGCGTTGAATTTTGTATTTCGCAGTCCAATAACGTAATACGGCGCTGTACGGCTAAACCCGGTAGAAAGTTTTTCTTGATTGTCGAGGTTATTTCATGAATTTCAAGGACGGTTGGAAAACTTTAATAGCGACTTTTTACCATGAAAAGAAAAAAAAAATGTAGGAGCTTGCCATTGGTTCTCTTTATTGTTTCTTTATCGAGAGTTAAAGCCGATGACACCTTCCTTCACTAATGTATGGTTATGTTTAGTCTAAATGTAAGGTGTCATCTGCTAAAAAATAGGAGGGGTAGCATGGTCTAGGAGCAAGGGTCACTTCACCTAACTCGATGAATAATGAGTGCATTTCTAAAGTCTTCTCGGGTTCGAGTAAAAGTTTATTTTATATACATTGATATTTCATTGCATTTTTTGATCTGCTTTGTACAACATAAAGTCAGAGAACACCAATACTACATTTTAAAAATCACAAAGAAATTACCGCGCGGTATCCCCAGAGCGGGTCAACCCCGCTTTAGCCCAGTGGTGTTGTTGTCGTCCAGCCACGCGTGGCAGTCGAAGTTGAACTCGCACCGCTGCGCCTCCTCGTTGAACCTGCGGCCCAGCACCCACAGGAAGCACCGCTCCTCCCTGCCGCGGTCGCAGTCGCAGTACACGCCCGTGTCGCAGGCCCCCGCCTCGGCCGCGCCGCGGACGAGCCGGTACCGCAGGCCGCTGGTGTCGCACCGCGAGCAGAAGTCCTCGCTGCCGGCCGCGGCCGCGGCGGCGACCACCGCCACTACTGCGACGAGGAGAAGGGATTGCGAAACGGTGTCGTAGAAACTATGTTGTTGTATTAATTACTGAGCGCGTTTAGTCATCGCTACTAAAAGTTATTGCGCCGTCCAATATAGTCACACACACTGGAAAAATGACCTGCGGTGAGTCACACCACTTTAGGCCGCCACATTGTGATGGATACAAATCAAGACTTTTAAGCTAGTTGTGACTCACGCTCGATTGGAGATTAAACGTCCGCCGCCGTCACCGCTGACGCAAGTAAACGTACCCGTCAGAATGGCCACTAGAAGGGTTCTCATGGCGGTGACGAAGATCCTTCACTGACTGGACGCCCGTGTCTCACTGGCCGCTATTCGCGCCAAGCGCGATGCGCTGGCGCTCTGGTCCTTATCGGCGAGGGGCCGGTGACAGTTGGCCGCCGCCTCGGCGGTGTACACGTGAGCTGCTCAAGGCGTCGCCCGCACTTGTCCTGCTCGCCCGCACAGATGGGTTGTTGCGCGGGCTCCCTTGGCGTCTGGGGGTGTGGTGTGGTCTTGGTCTTGTGGGGCGGTAAGCTGCTGCTGCAAGCCCCTCCCTCCTACCTGAAGCTCACAAGGAAGGAGACTTAGGTAGGTGTAAATCTCCGATTCGGTTCAAACCCCCTTATATTTGCTTCTTATGCCTGTACATGACTATTGCGCGTC